CCTATCAATGCAGTTCTGATAGAAGCAGGAGAGACACCTCTGGAGATCAGAAGAGAGACACTTGCTCTGTCACACTGGGTCAGGCTACAAGGAAGTGGAGAAGAAAATATTTCAAACAGAATATTACAGGATTGCTGGGAATATGCAAAATTCCAGGGACGTGGGTTTGGCTGGACGAGTAAGGAGAGAACAAGGGCATATGGAGTGGAGAATATCACGTTTGCTAAAGCAACCCCATTTAGTAGTGTTCCTCCATGGCTTTTCCCAGAAGCTAAAATAGATATGAGTATTGTAGAAAGGAAAAAAGAGTGGCAAGTAAATGAAGTGGGAATTAAAACAAGTATCAAATCAAATCAAATCAGGTTTTATTTATAAAGCACATTTAAAAGCGATTTTTGGTCGAGCCAAAGTGCTGTACATGTAATAAAAAACACATCACTACAAAACACAATAAACGACAATAAATTACAACAGATATAACTTAAAAAACAAAATAAGAATAGAACACACGGAGTATACAGAGTATGTATCTGAATGAAAAGTATTACAATTGCCTACACATTTACACAGATGGTTCTAAGAACAAGGAAGAGTGTGTTGGAGTTGGTATATACATCCCAGAATTAAAAATATCTATTTCAAAAAGAGCGTCTGATCAATTATCAGTGTACACAGCAGAAATGCTTGCTGTAATAATAGGATTACAGTGGGTTGAAGAGGTCAGACCAGATAGGGTGGTGATGTGCACAGATTCATTATCCAGTTTACAAAGCATACAATCAACAACAACTGCCAGAGAAGACATTCTCATAGAACTGAATCATAGCCTGTTAAGACTCCACAGAGGCGGCATAGATCTGCAGTTCTGCTGGGTGCCTGCTCATGAGGGGGTGAAAGGGAACGAGTGTGCTGATAAATTAGCAAAAAGTGCACTACAAAAGGAAATCACATTACCAGTTCAACTTGGAGAAGGAGAAGGAAAAGCAGTCATTAAGAAGAAAGGGATGGAGATCTGGCAGAAAAGGTGGGAGAAAGACCAGAAAGGCAAAGAATATCACAAAGTACAAAAGACAATTACAATTCATATTTATAAAGAAAGAAACAGAATGGAGGAAATCACGATCGCTAGACTCAGAATAAATCACACAGCTTTGAATGGTACTCTGTATGTCATGGGGAAAAGTGACAGTGACAATTTAACATTAGGTCAGGAAAGAACATAGATTTTTATTTTTGTTTTATTTATTTCATGTTTTTTGTTGATTTATTTATTTATTTTGATTAGATCATAGGTTAAAGAGTTGGTATGATATGATGATTCATACTCATGTACAGTAGGTGGCGGTAACCTTTTAAGTTGTTTGCAATCCGCCAAAAACAAAGAGAAGAAGAAGAAGAAGAACATCAGACATCATGGCCTCGGCAGCTCCGGAGGATTTACCGGAGAACCGGGAGGGTTTAGCGGCCTCCGGGACACCGGGGGGAGACACCGGCATGGCAGGATCCCGTAAAACAACCTTCGTTCAGGTGAGTTAGCACCGGGAGCTAACAAGAGCTATCGGGAGCTAATGGGAGCTAACTGGAGCTGATGCGAGCTAGCTGCTTCTGCCAGGGGTAAAAACAGTATGAAAACAGTATCAATATAGTATAAATACAGTATTAAAACTGTTTTAAACAGTATAAAAGCCTGCATATAAAACAGTGTTTCAGCACAGGCTGTACAACAAAGGTGATTCAATAAATACACGCTGGTCCAAGTTACGGGGAGATATTAGTAGATGACAAGTTAGAGCAGGGGCGTCGCCTGGACCTGAAAACATTCGGGGCTTAGCCCACAGTGGCGGCGGCACTACAGTGGCATTTTTCACTGCAACACTCCCCACACGCACATACACAGTACACCCGCGACTGTTACAATGAAGGCTCGATAATCACCTCACGGCATATAGGCAGGGGTAAAGTGGTATTTTTTATGAGTGGGGGGCTCACCTCCTCTAGGGGGGTCCAGGGGGATGCTCCCCCGGGAAGATTTTTTTTTAAATATTGAAGTTAAATGCATCAATCTGGTGCACTTTGAGAGCAAAATGAAGAGATCTATGGATACCTCTCTCAACACCCATATGAAGCAGAACTGTAAACAGATGTACTTTTTTCTTTATGGATATTTTACAAATCACTCCCCTTTTAAACTCTATTCTTGTTTTACTGCCATATAGTATTTCATAACTGTTTTTCCTTTATTCTCTTATTTTTTTTATAACTATAATGATCATATGAAGGTGTGCCGCGGAAATAATCTTTTGAATAATTTGTGACCAAACTGTTTGAGACCCACTGAGATAACTTAGACTAAAGTTAACTATCTAAACACTCAGAGAGTCCTTTAGCTCACCTGAGTCTCTCAGTCTGAGAGGAGAGGAGTCTCTTCCAGCTTCTTGTGGAACAAACAGCTCCTTATGTCCGTTAGTGCAGCTAGCTAACCAGATGCTAACAACACGGTCCATGCTGGCACCGGTCCCTCCCTCCCTCCCCCCCCTCTCTCTCTCTCTCTCTCTCTCTCTCTCTCTCTCTATCACACTAAATGCGCTATTGTCACACACACACACAGAGCCGAGCTTGAATGACACAAGCACACGTTTATTTCCATGCAACTCTCTGATTGGTCTGGTGTCATGCCTCTGTTGCATTCACTGAACACGGGAAATTACAGTGCTGCCGTCCTCTCTTGTGTCATGATGAGGTTCACGTAAAGCACGGTTAATGGATTATATTATTGAGGGAGAATTGTCCGGGGCTACAGAAAAAACATTCGGGGCTAAAGCCCCGGATGCCCAGGCCAGGCGACGCCACTGGAGCAGGCGCTGTGGGAATTGTAGTCTTTGATAGTGTGTTGACTACAGACGTCACAATTAGGTGGCTTTTCTTATGAAAACAAAATACTGGCTCTAACACGTATATAACCTAAGATTCTCGTAGACTGGAATCTTAAGTTCTTGAGTAAATGTACTTAGTTACTTCTCACCTCTGCTATGAACCTACGTAGTAGCTGTATATTTGTTTTGTTGTGTCTGTCGGTTGTATTGAGTTGTCTTGATTGATCATTAAAGTGTTCTCAAAGCTGGTAAAGGTGCAGCTAGTTTGAATGACTTTGTATACTGCAGGGTAGCTTGTGAATTTACTCCAGGTGGAACTAAAGTCTGATTTAACACTTGATTATATTTCACATCACACATCCACATCTGTAAAGTAACTAAAGGTATTAAATACATGGAGTGGAGTAAAAGTACACCATCTACCTCTGAACTGTTCTAAAAGTACAAAGTAGCATTAAATGGAAATACTCAAGTAAAGTAAAAGTACCTCTAAATAGTACTTAAGTAAAGTTCTTGAGTAAATGTACTTAGTTACTTCTCACCTCTGCTATGAACCTTTTTGTGCTTTTAGCTACAAAAACCAAGTAAGTGTGTTGCTGAATTTA